CTGGTGAAGAATTGATGTGAAGTATTTCGAGATTTTTGTATTTTGAAGAATTTGTTTCTTTTTTTTAAACTTTATTTTATTGAAACTGATTTAAAATAGATTACATCATTGAAGAAATTCAACATATGAAATACAAAGAGAAACTAATGGTCATTTCCGTACCAGGCATTAAATGAGGATACTAATCGTTGACGACACATTAAGGATACCAAGATGATCTTGTTTCGAATCGAAGGTAGTCAATTAGGTGTTTCCGAATCCACAATAGCAGCCGAATTTCCAAAATCTATTACGATAACATGATAATAATTCTTTTAATTTAGATAAATTTTCTTCTTTGATTGCCTTTGTCAGCTTTGTTCCGAGGTAGTTTCAGTGAAGCTGCCGTTGAATAAGTTTGAACTGCAAAAGTTAAATCAAATATGTAGTCAAAATTGACTAGAAACTAAATATAGATATTCTACGAAAGAAAAAACCTCCATTAAAAATTTCACCCAAAAAAACTAAACTCAATCAAGGGAATCACAATAACTCAATAAATTCATACGAAAAATAACATCGCCTCGTCTTCTGACCAAAATCTCCAAAACATCCTCTAGATTCCATGTTAACCGTAGAACTTTCTCCCTCACGATGCCGGCAAAAGTACCGAATATCGGGGAGGGAATAAACTCAAATAATCTTTTTTCTTTTTTTTTTTCCCGGCGGCTAAATTGTACCTTGTTTCTTTTGACTCATAATCAGGTTTTTAAATTGCATTGCCGAGAAGAAAGCAGACCAAAGAAGGGATTTGAAACGCAAACGCTATAAAAAACGTCTGGCGTTTGCAGCTTGTAAAACAAACACTATTGAGATTCGAACTTGTAAATCTCTCTCTCTCTCTCAGTCCAGAAATATCGCCATCGTCGTCGTCCGAGAGATCACAGACAGACTAAAAAACTCAAGAGAAAAAGAGAGTTTGATTCTTCATTACAGCTTATGCAGACGCTACAACAATCCCAGATCCTCCACAATTCGGCCGACGCGCCAAACAATCAGTCGGAATCGGACGACGCGCCGCCTAAACAGGTGGCTCAAGCCATGGAACGACTCAATCAAGCGGCTAGGGTTATCGCCGATATTCGTCTCGGCGCAGACCGTATCCTTGAAGCAATGTTCGTCGCTTCGCAACCTCGCCACACCGACACGCCGCTTCAGCTCTTCATTAGAGAAGACGCATCCATGCGTCAACACCTTCAGGATCTCCGGTTAATCGGTGCTTTAATTTGAACAAGAATCGATTTCATTTGTATTATTGATATGCTTTTGTACAAACAAAATTTGAAGAATCGTTGTTTATTTGAACAGGGAAGAAGTTGGAAGAATCTGGAGTTCTCACTGAATCTCTTCGTGCAAGAAGTAACTCATGGGGTCTTCATATGCCATTGGTTTGTCCAGATGGTGCAGTCGTTGCTTATGCTTGGAAAAGACAGCTTGCTGGTCAAGCTGGTGCTTCTGCTGTTGATAGAACTAGGTATGAGAATTGTTGCAAATGATTCGAGCTTAATTTAGGTTTAGGTTCATGGTGTGTGGTGTTGAAATGATTATTGAGCTAATTGAAGCTTAATAGAACCAAATTTGGAGTGTTATTAGCTTAAGCATTCGTACTAAACGTCGTGCATTCTTCATTTGCTCTTGTGTTGTGAATGATGTTTCCCTTCTGGTTTGTTAAAACTTTGACGCATAGTATGTTGGTATGACTGTAGGTTAGCTCTCAAGGCCTTTACGGATCAGAAAAGACGATTCTTCCCTCACATTGATGATGGATTAAAGATGGAGCCGAGATCGAAAAAAACCCGTGCCTCTCATTCACTATTAGAAAATGGAAGAGAGGAGCCTGTTGATTACAAAACGTTGCTAGATATACAATCGCGTTTAGAGAAGCTGGTCCCGAATGTGAAGGTGTCTACTTATGGACGGTTGGACTGGCTGAAGAGAGCTAATTCTTTACCTGGGTCAAGTAGTGATGATCCAACGGAAGCATCAAATCCTATTTTCCAGAGTTCTAGTAAGATGAGATCAGGGTTACAGACAGAAGTTGTTGATAAGGTTGCTGTCATTGAGTTATTGTTTCCTTCCGTATTCAGAGCTGTTGTCTCGTTGAATCCAGCTGGTTCTGTTGATCCAGATGCAGTTGCTTTCTTCTCTCCAGATGAGGTAACTTCCACACTCCCGGCATTAGATAACACTGATTTTCAAATGAAGTTTTTAAATTACTTATGTTTTTTGCTTCATCCCTTCCCTTCCTTACAGGGAGGCAGCTACTTACATGCGAGAGGCATTTCGGTTTATCATGTTTACAAACACATCACGGTAACAGAGTCTGCAATTGGTGTTTCATATATTCTAACGAATTTGATTGATTTGGAACTTGCATTAATTAGATTTTCCTTGCAGGAACATGCTGCCACAGCCTTGCAATATTTCCTCGGCTCTGGTACCGGGACAGCTCTCTACTTTCTTCTGGTAAACCATGTTACAAGGAGTCATCTGTCTCTGGATAACATGAGCCATTTCTTTCTTTTGGATCCATGGAAGTTAATTAACACCTTTCTCTTCCTCTAATGCAGCTATGGATATGCACTTTTGAATCCCTATTTAGTAAACCATGCAGGTAATTAGCCACTCTCTGTAACTCTTATGCAATGTTCTAAAAATCGTGTTTTCCGTGGACTAAACTTTTCACCTATCTTCTGATCTGGTGCAGTAAATGTGGAAGGCTATTAGCAATGGATAAAAAGTCTGCTTTGATCCTACCTCCTCTACACCGCCCTTACCAAGAATTACCTCTTGCGGTCAAAACTGGGGAAGTCAGCCTCGACGATTATGAAGCTTATCATGCCAGTTGCTCTCAAGATGATTCCTAGTGATTAGTAATGATTCAATCAAAAGGTTAGAACTAACTTCTGAGAACACTTTGTGTGGAACTATAGTATCCGGGATTTCCTCTTGGACACCTCTTTTGTGTGTCCCATGTTGAGGTTAGATTCACATTACATCATCAGTCACTTTCTTTGTTTCTCTTATTGGTAAAGACAGAAAAGACATAGAAGCATGTGACAGCTGATGATAAATGTTACTGCTCTGATGATTCGAGAGATTTGATATTGTGTTCACGAGATGCTTCTTCTCTTTCTGATCAAAGACTTTTTTTCCTCAATTCACATTCGTTGCAATAAAAATCAAAGTGAGAAGAAGACAAAGTGGGTCCTGATTCTTGTACCAGGAGTGGAACGTGTTTGATTCAGAACCAGAAATAGAATATAGTGTTACATTTGTGACACAGTGTAAATGCAGAATCCGTAATCCAAATGGAACTAGTTAATTTAGATCAACAACAACTTACATTTTTAGATTTCACATGAAACTCATAACAAAACCTGCAACTAAAGAAACAAACAGAAGAATCACGAAAGAAAGAAGATAAAACAAGGGGAAGAGGGCTACATGTACACTACAACACAACTCCTCACTAATACTTCTTCCCTTCTTCAATAGCTGTTTTCATAGCACATTCCTCTGGAACTACCACCATTGACCGCCTAACACTGCATATTGTCCAGAGATACAAAGCCAACATTGTCCCCATGGTTCCACATACTACACCCAACAACAATGCACCAACCATTCTCCATCTATCCTCGCTTCCTCCTCGGCCCTCTTTCTCTTCCACGGAAACTTCAGTCGGTACAAGTGGCTCTGAATGCATCCGCATCGGAGGAGGATGCCTGATTTCAAAGTTCCATAAATGGAGAAAATGTGCATTGGACGAGTTCCCATTTGCAGAGCTTAAACCCACCATGACTTCACCACCTTTCCATAGCTTAGCCAAGTCTACCGAGAAAGAGAAGAATGGATCGAACAGTTTCACCGAACCAGATTTTCTGAATCGAACCGTCATCCTTTTAGAACTTGCCTCATACTCAATCATACAGCTCAACCTCCCTCCATTGTTCATCATCAAATCACCCACAAACGAAAGGTTTCTAATTTTAGCAGATTCAGGCCTACCAATTAAGATCCTTGCAAAGTTTCCTCTCTTGGATATACCAAACTCAAAAGCAACAACTGTCTCGTTCTTCGCATGTTCTAATAGAAACCCTAGTGCAGAGGAACTCTTATCTTTCTTACCAAACAAACTAAGATCCAAACTACTTGGAACCATTACAAAACCCAAGACATCACTAATCTCATTGGGCATGGAAAACGAGAAGTAAGTCGAGAAAGATACCGAATTCCTCTGTTTACCTTTGAAAAGCTTGATGGGTCTCTTGTAAAAGACTCGTCCTTTGCTTCCACTCACTGACTCAGTCAGCTGAATCGAAGAACTGTCACTGACAAGCTTCGAATCTCCGAACAGAGCAACATTCTTGTGAAAACTCGGAGATTTTACAAACTCATCAAACGAAAAGGATGAATTCCAATCTGCAGCCATGGCTACATGCATCTCAAAGCTTAAAGCGAAGAGTAAAGCTAGGATTTTGAACATCGACATAGCTAATGAAAGTGGGTGGTCTCTCTCTGATTTAGTGTCTGGCTACAAGAACTTGCTCTTCTTCTTCCTTTTATGTTTTGAGAATGAATTCCATTTCTCAAGAAGGAAGAAATCCAGTTGTTTTCTTGCTTTTTGTATGGATTTATGTGAAGAAAGGAAACAAGGGATAAAATTAAAAAATATCAATCTAATG